AACCTTTCTTGTTACTCTCAATTCTGAACGTACCTCCTGCCCTGTGGCCACACAACCAGCCCACCCTATGCCTTCTCCTGCCTTTCCTCATGGCTACCTAAGCATTCCCACTCAGCCCAGTCAGGGGCCATCTGCAATTCCTCTCTGAGGCAGAGGCTACAAACTGCCTCCTGGTCCTGTGACAAAGAATAGCATGTACTGGGGACACTAATGCCAACAATTCTCCATTCATGACCTAAGAGTGATCTCAAAAATGTCCAGGACCGAGGTCTGGAAAGAGCAACCCACTGCCACATGTGGACATGGTGTGAGAAGGCAAGCATCCTCTCAGCCTGTGTAGCTTGCAAGGAAAGAATTAAAACAGTAAGACAAAATTAAGCAATGGTATAATTTACTGCTTAGAATTTACTAATATCCAACCTAGGAAGAGCACCAAGGGCTATAAACATTTCAAGACACTTCACTATGTTTTATCACTATATTAGAGAGTATTTGCCTTTTAACACTTATTTAAGAAAATAAAAAACTGAGCAGTAGTTTCCTGTGAAGATATAAATTAACATGTTCTGATAAGCCACAGTAAGTGCAGTACAAGCATCTTCATGTCAAAAGTATATAGACCAAAGCCTGCATGTGCTTTTTAGCTATGCTCAGTGCATTTACAGAACAATCCAAATCTGGAAGGACAAAGATTAACTGATGCTTCTGACATTACAGTGCAGGTCTGAGATTTGGGACATGAGGCTTCAGCTCTGCCTCTGCCTGCCTGCACAGCCACAGGCATATCACGTAACCTCACCGTATCTCAACTCTGTAGCTAYGAACACACGGTAAAAATGCCTCTTTCATTGCCAAGATTAATTCACATTGTGTTWAAGAGCCCACAAACTGGTTCCACACACAGAGGAAAGCAATTTGACATTTCAGCAGAGATAAACTACACTAAAGAGCTTATATTACAAGGGCTCAACTCTGGCAGATACTAAGTACCCTCTTTTCCACTAAGCCGGTCTCCTGCAGTCAGCAGCTCCCTCAGTCCCTTCAGAGGCATGTTACCCTCRCCACCCAATGCCACATCAATGCTATTTGCTTAATGACTAGTGTCAGTTCCAACCTAGGTGCAGGATGAGGTCCAAGCACTAAAGCAGACTACACCAGGTATCTGAATCTATCCCTGGAGCTGTTAAACTTGGACTATAGCTCCTTGCAACAGGCTAAAGGAATCCTCCCACTGAGCATGCGGAGGCCCGAGGACCGTGTGCCTAACGAGGCTGTATCCCCACTCATATTTTAGCTTGGCAGGTCTGGTGCTCCTTTCATCTTTTGCTTCAGGTAGCTCTCTTTAATTAATAACATTTCTGAGTCGACACAGGGAACTTTCCACCCAGAATGAATGGCCCTCTCTCATTAGAACCATGACTTGTCATGATGTATTCAAGAGCAGAAGTGTGATTCATTCCCTTGTCTGGGAATGAGGGGTGTTGCTGGGGGGTKGGGGGGAGAAGAGCCTCTGTAATGAGTGACTGATATTTGCTGAAGTTGATATGCGACTCTGTCGGCTTGAACTGCCTTGTCAGGACAAGCCTTCAAGAAAGGTGATGTTCCTACTCAAGAGGCTTTCCTCATTAAAGAAATTGCATCTTAACAAGAGGGAAGGGGAGGGCTGGCAGGAGAGCTGCTGTCTCCCCGACTCCAGCGTGGTTCACACACACCGAGCACGGAAAGCAGGTTGATCCAAGCACATCCAGTAGAGGATCAGCGCTCCATTTAGGAGCCCTCTCATGCAATGAACTCTCTYCAGCAGCAATCAAATCCTTCCAACAGGGATTCTCCTGATGGTGCACCACACCCATGACAAAGCCTTTRGTAGCATGGCCAAGGACCTCGACTCATGCTAAACCCCCATAAGCCCTTCCCCGATGCTTGATGTCCAATTCTGGGCACCCACTCCTTGTGAGTAGTGCTCCCTGTCATTTGAGAGAAGACAGACAAACAGCTTTGCAGTCTTCCAAGGAAGCTCCAGCATTCAAGAGCAATCAAGTGTGTAGCCACACAGTRCCTCAGTCCCTGAAGACCCTGAGCCAAGCAGAGGTTTTACTGATCCTTTAGCAGCTGAGTTACATCCTGAATACTGCAGACTCAGCAGTGCCAGACACCAKCAGCAGAGTGCAGTACCTTGACAATCGCTCTTCCTCTGGTGCTTTTGYTTGAGCTAGGAGTGCTACAGTATTTTGCAACTCCTGGCTCAGAGAGGGCAATTTCCCCACCTTCTCCCTACATCCACCACTGTCAGCCTTATAGATTTCTCTTCGTTACAGCTACTTCCCCGCATCCAGCTTGCTCATCCCACTGTGCCTCCCTAGCACCTACCAGTGGCACCTAMTGTCACAGTAGACAGGCCAGTCAAGAAAACACCATGCCTCAGCTCTAGAACAGCACACACAGACAGAAGGCAAAATAAATGCCCAGGTTACTGCTGGAGAAGCCAGGAACAAGGCTGCATAGTTTACCAGCCAAGCTAAGGACAACAGAGGACAGAACTCCAAACCACTCCAGACATGGGTAAGAGGATTGCAGCTGTGCAAGCAGGTGTCATTACYAAGGAAGCTGAGAAAAGAAAGAGCAGAGTTAGGAGTGGACCTTTCACAAGTGGCGGCTCCTTAAGCTAGGAAATGTTGCACTCACCTCATTGTCCTCAATTCCTCTGGAACCCAGATGGGTTTCTACCACACAATGCTTCCCCCTACACTCCTCCAAATGTGGACAAGCAGCACCACCTCCCTTCCTACTGCCTCAATGCCTTTTGTGCCCAGCGTGTGGTSTCAACACTGTAGCAAAGCACATCAGCTACACTGCAGGGAAGCWTGGGGTGATTCCCTGGAATCCCTCATGGATGTTCCATGTTTCTGAGGCTCTGTATCCCTGTCTGAGAAGCCTTGTTTCAGCTCTCCGCTTTTTCTCTTTAAAAAGAGATGCTCCGTTCTGCTTTGCTAAACCCTATTTGGCAATGTGTCTAAACACACGCAAACTTAATTAGTTCAGGAGGGAGACTCGGCATTTGTGGTGACGGATAAAAGTAATGGGAAATGAGACAAGTCAGGGCTGGCAGGGAGTCCTCACTCAAGCCTCATCCACTGGCACAGTGCTAATCAAATGTGACGCTACACGCTGCAGCACCCAATCGGCAGCGGAGCAGCGTGATGTGCTACTCACCAGGCGGCTGCAGCCTGAMTCCTGCTATCCATGTGCTTGGAAACACAAAATGTATTTTCTGCTTTGCCCTGGAGATGCTTCGGGATTGAATTCTGAAGTTAATGGTTTAAAAAAATTTTTTAAAAGGAAGAGGAAGAAATGAACCAGTCGCAACAACCTCATGGCCAGGAGTGGAGTCTTCTTTTCCAGCTGACTAGTGAGGGACAATCCATGCGAGAGACCACTGCAAATGGTGAATTGTTCCACTCCAGAACAGCATGTCCCTCTCAGCCCTATGGCTCACCCCCAAAAATGGGGCTCACCTTTACCTCTATTTGCCCACTGTAGAGCTTTGAAGAAAAAAGAAAACCACCCAATACATCCAGGTTGTACATTCCACATGGACACCAAGTTAGGATGTCATTACCTGGGAATCTTGCCAGCCCACTGGGAAAGAAATGGAAAGATAGGCTTGGAGCAAAGACAACTGTTTCTCACAACCATCACCAAAGTGGTAAATTGGACTCTCACAAGAGCAATATAGGAGTAAAGAACAGAGAAAATAGAATAAATGAGAAACAGAAGTTCAGCACAGCAGCTGTTTATGCTGGTCTCTAACAGAAGTTTAAATATAATATATAAAGAAAAATAAGACTTACTCGTAATTTAAGCAACTAACACAAGAAGTTGCAATATATACCAGCTCTGSACACAGCCTGAGCAAAGAGCCAGATTTTGACTCAAAAGTTAATATACCACCCCTCTGTCTCTGTCTGGAGCCAGCTTCTCATCTCTACTAGCACTTGTGGAGCTTTGGTCTCCGTATCTCATGTCTCACTAATCACACCAAAAAAAGGCAAGGGGCTGCCACTCTGCAAAGACCACTCGGCAGGGAAGAACCGGTGCTGATTGCTCCTAGGATATGTGYAGTTTATTTAGGCTTCCAACTTGGGAAAACCAATGTCACAGGGAAAACCAAGTAACACTACTAACGAGTTGTGGCTGTCAGTTTAGGATGGGATGTGTCAAGCCCATTCTTAACTGGTGTGGTAACAAGAGCACCGCAGGGAAATGAAAAGCTGAAGCAAGATTATACAAATCCAAGGGAATTCAGAACTATAGGACACTGATCTGCAAGCGCTTTGAAGAYTGAACTAATTTAATTTTTGGACATTTTGCTCTGTTCTTATAATAACATTTTTAGGTTGGTGGTTTAGCTATTTTCCTAACATAATATGCACATACACTGATACTTGCAGATTCCCGTGCAGGTCCCCACCTAGTACTTGCCAGATATTCACCCAGCTGATGAAGATGACCTTAACAATAAGAACATCACTGCAGCACACCAGACCTGGCTTGTACTCTGTTCCAAAGAGTATTCTGTGAATCACATTGAGTTACTGTAACAAGGTGACAGAAAAAACCTTGCCTGTGGAAGTTAGTAAAGGATCATCACTTGATTTGGGTGTACAAAACCAGCATTCTTTGTATGCACTCAGAAATATCCATTCCTTTGGAAAGTATATTGGACAAAAGAGAAAACATCACAAAGCTCCAGTTTAAACTTTTCTTGGAGTTCTGAAAGGCTTCACTCACTATAAGGAATATCCTAAGCAGTGATCTTGCACCATGCCCAGCACCCACCTGTCTTCTGAAACAACTCTCCACTCTCAATTATGCATGGCAAACAACAATTTCCCTAAGAAACAACAACTATGGAAGCTTGCAAGGACAAAGATATATGCACTACAGGCAAGCATGGAGCAATAAAGCCCAGCAAAATCTCCCTCCCCTTCCATACTCACATCACTTTCAAATCCCAGTCTCCACAGGTCACAAAAATCGACTTGACGCTGGGATCTAAGAGGCCTTCCTTTGCCATCCACTCGTCAACCCTCTGAAAGGAAGGCAAGAAAAGGGGATGAGTTTTGCAGAGACAGGCCGAGCCACAACAGTTAAACTCAGATAAGCTGCTTGCAATCAAGAGAGAAGAAAATTGTGATCTTATCCAAACTCCCCCTCTCTCTCTTCTCTCTTTGCTTGCCATCTCAACAACAGCACGTTTGGACCTTTGAAGATTTCTGATAGGAGACATCAGGCAACCAGAGCAGAGATGATCTTATCAGACACCACAGCAGCTCTGCTTGTGSAGGGATGAAAAGTTGTGCAGCATTAACAGGACGATACAACTGTGCTGTTACCTGGCATTTCTCCTCTCCCTGTACCACAGAGACTCGTAGGGAGCATCACTTGTATACCCTCCAGTGAGGAGAAAAGACAGGTATCTTGAGATCCCTTCCCTACAGCATTTCTCACATACTCTGAATCATATAGCACCAGGAGGATATGGAAAAGGRGGAAAAGCAGAAGGGCTGGGCACACTGCTGTGCTGCTGTGGCAGTAACAAGCAAAGAAAGGTGTCCCCTTCCTCTCCAGACTGGATCCCTCTTTTCTTCATACAGTTCTGAATGGGTTCTGCTTTTTCAGGGTGTGGATTTAAAGTGACTCCACTATTCCTGATCAACTTCCCATAGGGACAGATGTTCTGGTTCCTCTTCAGAAATGGGTCAAATTAACCTGGAGGATGCAATCTACCTAAGGGATTAAGGAACTAACCTAGACTACAAGCCCTGCATAGACACTTATTCCAGCGAAAATTAGCAGATGATGTGCTCAAAATCGTGCAGTGGCAGGCAATCAGCTGCTATTACGCAACCTTACTGGCAGCATTTTCAATGCTTGAATAAGAGAAATCCCTCCTCTTTTACTTTGCTCAACACCTTTCACTCCTGAGTAAACCAGCATCCCCAGAAGCTGCTTGACCTGAATCTCATTTTAACCTAGAAACATGCTGCTGTATGAACATCTTTCCTGTCCAAATAAAAAAAATAAATTCTACATAAGCATTTTCACACTCTAAGAAGCTTTCATAGAAACAGAATGAACCATTTTCTGGAATACTCTAGTAGTGATCTACATGCACCCATCCAGGCAAAGAWGGCTCTCCCTCCTGGGGAAACAGGCACAGGTATTCATATTTTTATGAACACACAAGGCAGCTATATGATCTATGGAGAGCATGGGGAGAGCTGGGAGTTTGCATGGATGCAAGATGTCACCTCTGCAGAGCACCATCCTCAGTCTCATGCCACTGCCATAGCCTTTCCTGMCAGGAGTCGAAGCTTCTTCCTGTGACCCCTTGTAGAACAGCCCTCTGAGTAAAGTGCTCTCAAAAAGCAGCATCCAGCCTCTCAACCCCACTCCCTTGGGCTGACAGGATCTCCCAGCCAGACTCACATGAGCCTGCCCGGAGTTGGGGACAGCAGTGGTACCCCTTCTAAAGTCCCTGATGTGAGCGCCCATCAAGTGCTGTCTCCATGGAGGATTTTAATGCCTTTAATTTGATTTCCTCAGATAAGCAATTGTCGCAATTATACTGATTAGAAACAATTAGGTAACACAGCAGTGGAAATCCTGACTGATACGATGCATCGAACACCAACCTGCAGCCCAAGTGGGCTCTGCTTGAGGAGGTTTCCTTCACTATCTGACTACCAACAAAAGCTATTGATGGAGAAATACTTCCAAGCTAATTAAGCCTTAAATGCTTTAGGAATTCCACATTAAGCAGATGGTATTATTAGGGTTGTATCTGTATTCACACATCCTTCAGATTAGATTTCAGAGGCCTTTTTTTTTTCTATACTACATGTATTATTGAGCATTTAAATAGGTAGAAAAATTAATTTAATAAAGTGCTGAGGGAGGGGAAAGAAATAAAAGCAGAAGCTTCAGGAGCAGTGGTCTTGAGCAATGTCTTGATGCTTTAAACCTGGCTCAAGAAAGAATCGCCCCTTCTCCTATCTACTGGCAGGAGTTTGGATATCTTGTCAGCACCCYTGACATGAACAGCTGGAGATGACAGATCAATGGTTCAATACTCTCAGCAGTGTGTCACCAATGTGACAGCAAATGTTATTCTAATGAAGTTGTAATCATAGGCAAATTACGCGGTTCGATTCTCAGCAAGGGGAGGGTGAAGGGAAAGAGATGAAGAGGGGACTACAGGACCAGAGGTCAGAGCTCGAGAACTAAAGGTTACTCTGCTTACCTCAAGCACTTGCTGGAGGCTCGGCTGCCCATCCACCATGCCTTGAATAATCCCAGTCAGCTGAAACAGAGACAAACAGAAAGCAGTCATCAGAGCAGCACTCAAAAGATCATTAGAGAGGTCTACTCTCCTGTCCATCTCTCTGATGCCACAACATGCTCCTGTGACCCACATGGGTGTTGCTGAGGAACCARTCACAGCAGAGTGACCCTGGCAGCTCCTCAGCTACAGGCAAGGGCACAGCTTCATCCCTAACACAGAAATGTARKKGGGSYYCYWMCCMMMMCMMAAAAMWGCGAATTMTCAGCATGGCAGGGTCCACTTGGGRAGCAGTGTCAAGYACCAGCATGATGCCCTTTTTCAAATGTGCATTTCAGCAGTTTTGCTGTAACCCTGATGCACACAGGCAGTGGTAACTACCAAGGCCTCTAGACATTCCTCTGCTATCAATGACACCAAAATTTCAGTGTTAGATGAACCAAACAGATGAGTATTGGTAAGTGAGACCCRGAGTGGACTCAGTCATCCTCCCCTGAGCTGGGCAGCCAGTATGTGCACTTTCCCATKGTCCATCACGGCATTCCTTGGCAGTTCAAAACTGTATTTAAAACAATGGAATAAAACCTAAAGAAAAGCATTTTCTTCGAGAACCCTGTCTAGTCTTTCCAGGAGTTTCCTTAGGAACARGTCCTGCCAACAGATACTCCTACTGACCATTCCCAGACTGGTTGGCTGTTCAAAGCTAGACACATACATTAAAAGATGCAGTCTCAYAGGCCTCTGCCTGTGTCTGCCCAGGAGAGCTTGAGGCACATGGAAAACAGATATTTCTTCTGTCTGCCTTCCAACTGACAAAACTGTCTTTTAACATATTGAATATCGGAGGTCAGTAGCTTGCCATCAATGCACCCAAGTAATTAAAAAAATCATTATTAAAACAAGTCCACACTGTGGGATTTCACTTCATATGGCACTTTCCTGAAGCTACACATCTCACATGTTTTCATCAAATAAAGGTCAAACACAACCTAGAAGCATCCAAGCCTCTGGAAGCCATAGCATCCAGTCAAGAGATGCTGATGGCCTCACCACCATCCAGGAGTAACTCTTCCACACAGACCAGCTCAACCTACAATAACATGTAAGTCCTCTCACAACCACAAGGCTCTGCTTTATTAAATGTGTGGCAACTGAAGGAAGCTAAATGGCTTCTACCTCTCAGTTTCTTTGTCGGCTTGGCTYACAGCACTGAACTTGGAGGATGGAAAAAGAAAAGATATTAAACTCCAATTAAACTGTAATTACATTTAATGAATACCAAATACCTGACTCACTGAATAAAYTGTAAGTGGAAAGATCATTTTCTCATAGTGACTCCCATGAAATCGCAATACATACCTTTTAGGGAAAGTATTTTAATTTTAAGAATGCAGAGTTCCTCTAGGTGTGTTTCTCAAGTTCATCAAGCCATTATGAAGTGGAATTTTAAGGAAGTGGAGGGACACAGACACTCTCTTATATTTCAGAAACTGTTTTTATTATAATCTGTATTTTAATTGGGTTAACAGCTGCTACCTACAGACTTCCATACTCTGAGAGGCAAACAGATTTGAGGAATTAATGCATGGCACTTTAGAGCAATTTTTAAAGCTCACTGGCATGTTTGCTCTTTTTCTGCCATCTTTCTCTCCATGCATTTGTCTGACAGAGGTGGATAGTTCACCTATTGCAAAGTGCTGGTTCTGCCTCTCAGACAGCAGCTCAACCCAAATCTCTCAAAGTGGCTGAAAGGTGTGCTCAGAAGGGAACACAAAATCATAAAATAGTTTGGTTTGGAAGGGACYTTTAAAGTTCATCCAGTCCAGCACCCTTTGCAATGAGCAGGAACATCTTCAGCTGGATCAGGCTGGTCAGACAGATGTAGCTTGGATGCTGGCCAAATGCCAGGCACCCACAGCACCCTTCTACACAGAGTCTACACCAAGCAGTTCTGCTTAGCAAAGGTARCGAGCAGAGGGGAGAGGGGAAATCAGCAGCACAGCAGACAGGCTCCCATGTAATGTCAACTGCTGYTCCTAGAGAGTTTATCTGGAAAACCATCGTATTTCTACTCCAAGACAGTTTGCTGATTACCTAAGCACTTGTCTCTGGTGTACAATCTGATAATCAGGCCTGGTCTTTCTTTGTAGACAAAGAGGCAAATAAATCTCACCCTTTGTAAGTAGAGGTGCCAAGACAAAGCCCTTTACTGGCATTTAGCAAAATGAGTATTTTTCAGAAAACATAAACCAGCAGAAAGTCAATAACAAGTGCTGGAGCAGCTCAGGCAGCAGCTCTGCAAGAGCATATCCTGGCTGTGACCATGAGGTCTCAAGGGAACCTGCAACAGTGGCACAGGGGTGATCCCAGCCTACCTAGAGCACCCCACTGTTAAGTAACGTTTACCTGTGGCTCTCAGGGCGGGGTTTCAAGGCCCCAGGAACAAGCCCAGTTACACTTCTAGCATGATCCCACTCCGAGATCTCTTGGCAGCCCCTGCAACAGGCCAGGGGACTGCCAAGCCAGGAGGGACAGAGCCATGCTGGRCACTAAGTAGCAAGGGGTACAGTTGGGGGTGTGACCAGGAAGCAGTAACTCAAGGCTAGGATTAACATCAGCTTCCTAAGCCATACTGTTAACAACAGAGAACTTGCCAAACCTGGCAAGTGGGACCTTTYTGTACCACTGATACACACAGGCAGGGGTTTGTTTTGCCTGCTGGCCTCAGTACTGCCCATTTTCATGCAACTCTTAACAAGATGCCAGACTGAGGTTTGTGGCAGAGTCTCCAGCAGAACGCCGAGCTGGGACACCTGTGCCCACCCTGGACACCTGCAAAAGCACAGCCACACACACACCATGCACACACACAGAGCTCTGCTTGCTTCAAGGCTCCATGCAGGAGACACAAGCACCTGCTCCAACCCCTGTGAGCAAGAGAAGACAAGGAATCCAGCACTGCAGTRGGGGAGCATTAGATGGGCTGACTGTTGGTCACAAGGCCATCATCCAGAGAACCTCTGAATTTCCCCAGGCTGCAGCAGGCTGCAGGCTCCATTCAGCTCACCAAGTGAGCCACAAGCACACACCAAGTAAATCATGGAGACTCTTGTGCAAAAACAGAGCTGCAGTCTTTAGCAATGGGGGGAAAGGATGCAATAGAGGGATTTCCAAAATAACAAGTTTTGGTGGGAACTAATGAAACAACTTCTCTCCAGAATTTAGGTGACTTGCAAGGCAGACATTTTGGGCTTAGCTTTAAAATATGACGTTGTCTTTAGCAAAGATCAGGTGCAAGCTGTGAGATTTATCACATTTGTATAAGCACATGTCCAGCAAGTCTCATGGGGATAAGGTCAGCTAAAGTAGTTGTCCAGCCTTCTAGCATTAAGGTTGCAAAACCATTTCCATTATAACCCTCTGTTCTCACACATTTATAGCCTTCTGAAAGCTCCTCTCTGGGGAATAATGTTTTCTATGCTTACACTTTTTTTTTTTTTTAAGTTTAAATAAAATACCTTCAGATGGTTTTGAGTTACAGGAGAATAAAAATAAGTATTTGYTTTTACAATGTGAAAATATGGAAGGGGCTGGTTGGTCCTGGAGGGGACTCCACCTAACACAGAGGAGTCATTATTCATCAGGTTAGTACAGGTGGGACAAACCCTCCAAGGGCTTAAGCCTGCAGCCACAGAGGCAGGGGAAAACACACCATGGTGTTGATGATCCTAGACAAGACAGYGACAGAATGAAGAACTTGAATACACTGATTCCCACTTTAGTCAGTGCTTTAGTCATTGAGCTGGCCAAAACTGAACCAGTGAATTGACAGGAGAAAAAGCCCAAAGAAAAAGGAACTTAAATTTTYTTTTGATGATTATCACAGAGAGGAAGAATACACTTGGAAAAACAGTTAACTTCTTGGGCTGAATGAAAAAAACACAAAAAACCCAAAACCAACAACAAGACCCAACCCCAGCCCCTCAACTGATTTCAATCCCCAGGTATTACATTTACCACCTTCATTCCCTATCTGGGGAACTGTGGTCACAGCTCAAGARCAGCTCTCCAAGCAAGTAAAGAGAGGCCACCTCTCCAGCTATCATTTCAAGTGGTCCACAAGCACATCACCARAAAGGAAGAATTAAAATACAGGCATGAATTATCCTACCACTCTGAAGGACTCATCAAATCCCACCATGCAGGCCCACAGGACACTCATTTAGAGCCTCTGAACCACAATCTGTAYAGCATTTTCTTTCCTCAGACCATGCTCTCTTTGACCTTCCCACCACAGAGCAGCGCAGCAAAATCACAAGAGCTCACAAAGACGAGACAGGATTTTGAACAGCAGGTAACACAAGCGCATTTATTTAGTGGTCACCCAGTTAGATGTTTGTTAGTTGTAAATACAATTATCTCAGCAGATCACAGCTATAGTTACTTATGAATCCAGATTGGAGTGTTTACACACTACTGCAGTAACAAAAAATTATTCTCCTTGTCATTAACTTAAGGCTGGCATGACACACTGCCTTGCAGCTGCACCGTGAAGAGGTGACCCCAGTCCCTGGTGCAATGGAAACCTGCTTCCCAGAGAGACTCTTGAAGCACCAGGGAACCTTTGCACTTTACCTCTGTACAGAAGGGCGTAAGCTGGGGATGCACCACAGGCTGAACATACATGTGAAAGGTGGATTCGATCTCCATCGTCCTGCCATTCAGCTTCAGGATAGGGAATTCGATGATTTCCTGAATGGGGCAAAAAGAAAAGCAGCTGTTCATTTAAACAAAAACAAGAAATTAGGCTGGAGATTATCCCATCTAGCAAGATGGCCTRATAGTCCCAAACAAAAATAAACACAAAGCTCTGCAGAAGTGGGAAGGTGGTGCTGCAGCACAGAGCATGTCCAACACTGTCAGCATAGATGAGGACGGTGCTGATGCCCATCTCATTCGGGACAGGCAGCAAGGAGGGCTCTGTCCTCAGCACTGCAGCTGCACACATCACTGCCCAAGCTGAACCTAAGGAAGGTGGTCTYGCACTGCTCACACGTGTTACCCAGGGAACATGGAGATGTACTGGCGATGGGCTCACATCTGTTTAGCAAGGACATCACAGGGGCTGTGCCCTCCCCAAGACCAGTCTCAGCCTTTCCAGCACACCAATCTTTTGGGCAACAAAGACTTCTGCATGAAGCACCTCCTTCTCTAGAGGGGCTGAGGAGCACTGCCCTCCTCCAATAGACTGAGAAGAGGAGCTGAAAGCTCCCCCCAAATCCATCCCTACGGGATACAGCACAGTAGCAAGTGCTGCCTCATTTTCCTCCTTGTAGCGAATTTATGCTGATAGGGAAATAAAAACGTTCCTTCATCAGAAGAATGTTCAATTATTTGAATAATCAGCAATCAAAAATTTACATGGACCTGTTAATAAAAAGTTTAAACAAATCCAGTTGCGATGGATTTCTCAATTATTAAAAAATATACATGAAATTAAAAAAGCTGCCCACTGAATAAAAGCGATAAAATCCTTTGTGTTCACCCCCCTCCTTCTCCACTCCCTTTCTTCCTTCCAGTTTAATGTAAGAGGAGAAGTGACAATTTGTTTGGTGTCTTTAAAGAATAATTTGTCTATGTTATTTAATAGAGATCCATGGCACCAAGGTTCTGGAGTGCAAATGAGCCTGCTGAGTGATATCCATGCAACAAGCCTCTCAAATCACTTCTGGAGAAAAACAGAGAGAGGGAGAGAGAATAAAAAAAAATATTGCTTTTTAATATTCAAAAACAGTTTGCAAAATTTAATCAAAGCAGAGCAAAAGCTAACATTTTTACCACTTTGACATTTTTATTAGCGCTTTCATAAATTTTTAAAACATGAATGGAATTAGTTTAACAACAAAAAAAACTGCCTGAAAACATCTGGAAGAGACAAATAAGAAATAATAAAAAATGAAAAAAAAAATCCAACTCCTGTGAGTAAAATTAGCATGTGAAAAATGCAGCCGCTGCAGAGGAACTAACACACTTTTTTGGACCGTGGTAGCAACCCTCATGACCTGCAGGCGGAAATTATCGTGAGGTTACACATATGAGCTGATGACATCACCACCCCACTAGGCAGCAGGAGGGCAAGAACCWGGGTGGGTAAATGGAAACAACAGATAATTTAAATAGCCAGGAGAAWCACCCAATTTCCACGGCGGACAGAGCCCGCAGAGGCAGCACAGCAGGGGCACAGCCCAGACCAGGGCACATGGAGAGTACGTGCTGTCGAGATGGAAAGTTAGAAAAAAATGTAATAATAAAATAAAGTGTTAACAGTATTGAAGTGCCCAGGTGTAGACACTGAGCAGTGAAACTGCACAGGAGGCAGGGCTTAAGCATTTCCCCGTGGTCAGCTGTGCCACACCCTGTGTGTGTCACGCTGGATCAGACAGAGCGGATGGCTGGGCACATCCTTCCCCACAGCCATACCACCCCACTGGGAGTCACCAGTATTTCCCAGGAAAGAGTAAACCCAAGGGCTTTAAGGGAAAAAGAAGACACATGCCAAACACTTGAGCATCAGCCAGACTGCCTGTTGTGGTGCAGCCAAACTCACCAGCTTCAGCCACCCAGGAGGACTCATGGAAACACTAAAGAGTAAGAAATGCTGGATACAGCTGATTCGCCTTGCAAAAGGGCCACCACAGATAGGCTCTGAAAGCAGCAAATTTCTGTTCAGAAGGAAAACAGACTGCAAAGTTTGAAGTCAATGGACAGGCCACCATAACAGAGCCAGGCTTAACCTCAGGATAACACCATCCCATCTTTCAAATTGGTCTGGGACATCTCACTACCCCTTAGGTCTGCATCTGACCCAGAGGGCGACCATGGAAGCAGGCAAGCCCACGGCAAGGCAAGATGAACATTCCCCCTTCCAGAGAGGGACACACACCGGCTGGATTTCACAGCAGGGCTGTGTTGCAATGCCAGGATGTGTCCTAAGGGACCAGAAACGTCCTCAGGGGCCATCAAGTGGCTGGATGCAAAGCGAGACTGAAAGACAGCCTGCTGCTGATCTGATACACAAAGGCGTCTCTCGCCTTCCAGAACCAAAGGCAAAAAGCACTTCCAGGAGGGTCGGATTAAGACAGACGGAGGAAATAAAAARCCATACTAAAAATGTGGAAAATTTAACAATATCCAGAATTATTGTACGTCTGTGGGAAGTGTAGGGCCAGGAGCAGGGGTGGAACCCCAGAGGCGACTTGAGCGTCTTAGGAGAAAGTAGAGYTGCTCTCTTGGGCTTATTGGGTCAGTTTTTGAAGCAAGTGGTAAAGAACCTTTCCCAAAAGGCTGTTTATCTGCACGCTTCCTATAGCAGAGATTTTTCCAGTCTCTGGCAGTGTTTGCTCCAGTGGTATCTAAGGCAACAGATACCAGCCCCATGAAATCAGCCCCACTCCTCACTAACGACGTTAGCCAGTCCTGCAATGAAATTTAACCTGTGACACTGCTGTACTTTTCATTTAAACTTTCATTTGGAGAGAAGCAGTGTTTGGAGACCCTGCAGTTTGTCCTGCTAATAAAGACAAGTGTTGGGACCTTTAAAGGTGCCATTCATCTTTTGCCTTTATTAAATTCAATTTTCTTAAGCCCATGATACATCATGAAATTAAGAGTTGACATTCCTGCAGAAACAAAAATATCTATCAAACATAAACAGAAAGGGGGGAGAAAAGAGGCCTCTATTACCAAGAATTTATGGCTTAAAGTTGATCTGTTTCCACTTTTTTCTCTCTCTCTTTTTTTTTTTTTTTACAAGCATATGGTTTGTTTTAGATATCTGAAATGTTATTACAGATCTAGAATTTCATTAGTAATTATTATGAAACGGTGAGCACTTAGACACTCACACACACAACCCCCCAACAGGCTGATGCAGGAAGGCAGCCTGGTGCTCTCTCACATTTCACAGCAGCACCGTGAGCTCAACATGCTCAGCTCCATCTCCACCATTCAAGGACCCTCTCTGCTTCTTCCCAGGCAGGAAAASTGGAGGAAAGCAGCATGGGAGAGCTAAGAAGAGAAGATTCACTGACACTTCCTTTCTTCTATGAGAGCCTGGACATCCCTAAGTGTTACCTTGAGATCCTCACACATTTCCACTCCAACACTGAGTAAATGTTCCAGCTTTGGCAGTGATTGTGCCAGTAGCATTTGGGACCTCTAAGTCTTCCCTCTGCCCCCACCCCCAGCTTTTCCTTATAGCACAACCAGGAGTTATGGATATGCTAAAATAATGCTGAGGGTGTCCAGAGGCTGCAAATAGCCGCGAGCTACCAGAAGAACAAATGTACTCATTTGAATTTTGCGAGCACTGCAATTAGGTATTTTATTTAGCACTGCAAAGTAACTTGAAAGGAAATCCAGGATTCAAACCACCACCAATAAATAAGCGGCTTTTTATTTTCCTTTCATTGTCATGAAAAGTTGAACATGTTTTCTGTTGAAAAATTCTGCACAAGGCTCCCAATTACAGGCATTTGCATTTATATTGTTGGAACACAGAGCTTCTAAAATCAATATTAACACACTTAAAGAAAAAGACATCAGCACCCTGTCCCTCCCCTCAGCTGTGCCCCCAAACACAGTAACAATAGGAACCTGCAGAGCCAGAGGCTTATACAGATCCATTAYCAGGTCCACTCTCTTTACAACAATCCTGCATTTATGATTTCACAATACTTCAAGCAAATCTATGTGACAGCTTCCTCAGAACTTCTGTCTTCTTTAAAAAAAAAATAAACCAAGGGTTTAAAATAAAAAAGGTTCCAGGTAGAAGCCTCCAGTGCAACCTGGCTGTCCCAAGCCAGTGGGCTGAGCAGCAGCAGGGTAAATGTGGAATGGCTAGGGACTTTATTCTAACAGGGATTTGAAAAATTCTTAATGGCATGTGAAARCACTGCTATAAACCCAGTCTTTCCTTACCCAATCGTCCTATGTGAAACTCCCCTCCCTTTAACACCAGGGATGCACTGATTCAGCTGTTTTGATCTTCTTCTTAATAAAAGAAATAAACAAGCACACAACTATACTAAACAATTTCCTATCAGACAAGAAAGCACCTGAAATTACACTAATTCCCACAGACAAATMTTTTTGCTTATCCYTTTGGATCTGGGTACCACTAACATYGTTAKCSAGAAAGAATAAAGTGCCCAGCAAGAGCTTCCTAGCTCTCAAAACCTTTTAATCCAGAAGCTTATGCACAAAGTGGACAGGACACGCTTCAGGACCCAGAGTTATATATGTGAGRAAGGCCGTATGGCCTGTTCAGTTAAAAAACTACCAAAGAATAATTTATCCCTTATTCTAACCCCYGTGTGAAGAAGTTTAATAAACACAAGAATAAAAGATGCCCATAAAAATCAGAGCTGACTGTTCAAAATGCAATAAAAACAAGCAGAGGCTGTTGAGAGAAACAGATTTTGTCTGATAAGGAAAAGCATAAAACTTCTTACCAAAAGAACCCTTTACAGCTTCAAAAAAGGTAAGAGCAGAAGAGGCAAGGGAGTGAGGGACAGAGCCTCAGCATCAGCTCATTTTGTGCAGGGATGGTTTTTCCCCCCCTTCTCTTTAAAGAAAAAAAAGTCATTTTATGCACAAGAAGCTTATTTCTTAAACAAACACTCGTGTTTTTGATTTACACCACGGGCTGCTCCTAAATAATTTATGGCGGGTTAAATTTATTGCACAGCCCT